ATTGAAGTGTTGCAATATATATCTTAATCTGGGAGTCTTTCCTGAATTTCACAATCAGATACACTATGTGTATTTTTGAATGACATTGACATATACTGTCGAGATTTGCAAAATGGGGTAGGAAAAAGTTATCAAGCAGATACATTTTGGATTCAATTATATTTTTATGAAATGAAATGAAAAGTATGATCATACTATGTTGTTCTCCTTTTTGTAAAATAGCTGATGAAATCGTGGTATTGACTTGAGCCTGAGTTGCAGTGCTGTTTCCAGCCGTCTGTGGGTCTAAGGTAAGGGTGCTATTGCAGAATCGAATTTCTCTCTTACAGCTGTAGATTCTATTTATAGCTCTAAGATCAGATTACCTTTTTTTTCTCTTACAAAATGTAGGGAGTTAAATGATTACAGCCAGTTTCATACAGCATCTTCAGACAGCTAGTTATCTGGAGGAAATCTCATAGCTGCTGTTAAGTCGAGACTCAGATTTCAGTGTTATTTGGATGGTTACTGGTAGTAGTGAACGTGTAGTCTCAACAAATTAATGCTTTTTTGCAGGATGACTTTATGAGAAATGTTTGCAACAATTCTTAATTTGTAACGTTTCTACTTTTGTGGTTTCTAGAAAAATACATTTATAGAGTATTACATGTGAATATCTAAGACTACTGGAGATAAAAATTAGTTGATACAGCCCCTTCTTCAGTGAGTTTTTAATTCCAAAGAGAATTCATTCAGCTGTTTAATCAATAATACCATGCCTGAATACCTACTGTGTGTAGGAATATGAAAGAAGTGATCATACATTAAAAGTATATAAGCCACTCTCTTAGGCAGCAAATACTGCTAATATCATGATTTAATTTATGGAACTTGAGTTAAAATATTTCACTTTTATCTGGGAGGCTTAGGTAAAGCTTTCTCGAAACAGTAGGAAGAGGAGGTAGAAGATGATACAGAAAGGTACAGAAAAAATACTGGAAGGAATTGGAACAGAATTTCCCTAAATTAATGTCAGAAACAAAGCATAGGTCTTAGAAGCTCTGAGAACACCAGCTAGGTTAAATGCCAAGCAGGCAGAGAGAGAGAGAGCGAGAGAGGGGCATAATATATTCAAATACCAGACAATCAAGTTAATTTTTTTCTTGAAAGAGCCAAAGAATATAAATTATTTATAGAAGAATAATAGACTTCTCAGAAACCATAGAGATGTGGAAAGAATGGAATAAAATATTTAACCAGTTAAGAGGGGCAAAAAAAAAAATCAGCCTAAAACTCTGTCCTGAGAAATTGTTCTTCAAAAATGAAGTTCTTTCTAAAAAACTGATAGAATCCATTGGCAATAGACCTGCCTTGCAAAAGTTATTATAACTTCACAAAGAGAATGATAAAGATCAGACGCTTCAATCTGCATAAAGGGGAAACTAGCTACAGAATAAAAAAAGGTAAGTTAAAAAAATCTGTTTTTTTGAGACAAGGTCTCACTGTGTAACCCAGGAGTCCTGCAGTCTGGCTCCAAGCAGAGGGCATGGTACAAGGGTATGGCAGAGGAATGCTGCGCACATCAGGCAGTCAGAGCAGTCAGAAGGCCAGCGACTAGGAAACACCCTTCCAGGCCACATCCCCAGTGATCACCCCACCCGGGCCCGATCTCGGAACACATTTAGCCATGGACTCGATTGATGAAGCCACTGCTGAGTATGGCCTCCTATGATCTCTAAGCAGCCCAGGCTGGCCCAGAACTCATGGTCCTCCCAGCCCAGCCTGATAAGTGCTTTGATGACAGGTGCCAGCTGGTAACTTCAAAAAAATGATGAATTGATCTTACGATATTCAGCAATAATAGCAACCACGAGTTGAGCAATATAGCTGTGTACACGTGGGATAAAAGACAATCTAGGGCATTGGTGGGAGGAATTAGGAATGTGTTGCTGTTTTTATAAGGTACTGGAATTATGCCTGAAAGGAAACAGATTATATGAAAGTGGACCTAGATTAGTTTTACCATCTACATTGCAAACCATGGAGAAACCACTAAGAACAGTGGAAGAAGTATAATTGATGTCTTAGGAGAGAAACAAGTGTAATTGATATATTAGGAGAGAATCTCATAAAATGCTTAAAACAAAAAGGAAAAGAAAGGAAAAAAGAATAAGGGTGGTAAATGGAAAACAGGTGTGGCACATATCACTTCAAATGTTAGTGGTCTACATGTGCCAATTAACAGACATCAGAGTGGATCAAAACAAGACTTTACGTTCTTTTCAAGAAGTCCACTTGAAAGACAAATGTTGACAGCAAAGGGAGGGGAGAAAGTGACCATACTATCACCAGTCAAAAGCAAACTAGACCAGCCTTATCAATTCCAGGCAATGAAAGTGTTAAGAGTAAGTTTACTAGGACTCTGTGCACTAAGTCATACCTGTGAATTTGGGCATGCATTTGGAGACTGAGCATTTCAGGCTTTCACTTAAAATCCTGGTCTTTTCACATCTGCCTCCCAGTCATACTGTCAGTTCTATCCAGTAATTATGGTGTGGTTCCTAAATTCATCATTAGTGACTCAACTGGAAGAAAACAGAACCAAAGTTTTCAGGTAGAGGCAGTTATTAACATTTTCTAGGGTAAAGATCATTGTACAAAGAGAATAAAGGAAATACTGAAAAATTACCTCACAGTCGGCTTGGTTCTAAATTCAGATCTACAAGCTGTGTTAGTTGAGAGACGTGACTTACTCTGAGCTTCCTAATCCACAAAGTAGTGGTTTGGATCGAGGGTTTTTGTGAGCGTAGAAGGAAATATGTATATAACATATCTGTCACATAGTAAATGTGTTATAGGAGGAAAGAAAATGTAGAAATGGAACTTATAAGAACAAATTCTACCAAATCTTGTTACATTTATTTTTTTCATGTTGGATTTACTTTTATAGAGCCCTTTTTAATTGTTGACTAAATAGCCTCGATTAGAACTTAGAATCCTCGTGCCTCAGTGTCCCAAGTGCTAAAATTACAGGCATGCACCACCATGCCGGGCTAGAGTTCCCCACTGAATGGTGAGCTTAAGAAATGGTCTCCTAGCCAGGTGTTCATGACTATAAATGCATCCCTCTACTGTGAAGAATTTGCTGTTTGAAGCATGTCTGCTATGACAAGGTTCATTGATGAAGCATGGTTTTTACTATAATGACCACGCTTGGAGGACCACTTTAATATTTGGTGGTTGTGAGTTTAGTATTCACCTGCTACAAATAATGCATATTAAAATTTCCTTGTATGTGAAAAATTAACATACTGCATACCAAACATCTGAAATTAGTCTTTGCAGTGAAAAAAATGCAAAATACATTCAAGGTAAAACGAAACAGACTCCACATTTCCTACTGCATTCATAGCATCTATATTATAATATGAATTTAATTTCAATATAGCCAATCAGTAAAGGGCCAGTGTCACTTTTTGTTTGGAGAGGATTTCAAAAATTACATAATGAAAGGATTTTAAATAATAGGTTACTGAGAGATTTCCTAAAATTGTATTTTTTCTTGACTGAGAGGACATAGAAATTATAATTAAATTCTGTTGATGTGGAGATATTTGCGTACTTTTCACCAGCTATGCCTTTCAGGAGGATGCATACAGAAAGGAAGCAGGGCATCAAACTAATCAAGGTCAGTGCAGACCGCTGGTAAGCAGAGAGGACAGGTCCAGCTCACATGTTCCTATCCTAGTAGGTGGCTGTAGGAAGGGACTAACAGTTACCTATGTTCTGGGCATCAGGACCATACAGGCATCATGGGTGGCATATGGATGAAGAAGCTAAGACAAGCCAACAGTTACCAAGCCCTTACTATGTGCTGTTGTTCCACACACTTCACATGGTCAATTAATGTGACCTTTGCAACAGACCTATGCAGTAGGTAGTGCCATCCATCCAGCTCCATATTAGAGACCATCAAAATGAGGCAAAGCACTGTATCTCAGGTCCATCATTTAGGTTGTCAGACAGCAGAAAAGGTGGGTTAGAAACATAATTTTTAGTCTCTCACCTCTTCGAAAGATTCTGTATTATTGCCTCACATGTGAAAAGGATCCCTAAATCAAGGGTTCCAGCATTTGTTCAATCCAGGTTGAAGTGAGATACCTGGTTCTTTCTGGACACATTAAGTTATGAGGCAAGAATTCCTTGGTCATCTCTATTTTTATAATCAGCATGGCTAGGTCTGACAAGATGATGTCAAAGCTGATCTAGGGAAGCCCCAGGAAGAGTTGGAGTTGTAAAGTTATCTGCGTGATGGGTGAGTGACCAAAAATATGCTGAATTGAAGTTTTAGAAGCAGAAAAGCTAGATAGTCTTTAGTACCCTAGAGGACTGGAACATTAAATAATCATTTTTATGGTAACTAATGCATGTACCATTCAGGTGTTCACTGTTCAGGCAAGTGAACAATTTACGTGTAATTTGTGGGATTGGCAGGAGTCATTTATACCTTACAGCTGACATTCAAATCCTTGGCTAGCAGCAGATCTGGGTAAGCCTCTGAATGACAGTAGTCCTGTGTGTTCAGAGGATCGCCTTGGGCTCAGGATGCCACACGACTCACCATGGAGATGGCTCTGTACATTAGTTAATGGCTGGGGCATTAAGGCAGTGGAGAGCAAGACAGCCTTCCAAAGGGCCTCTTAAACAGCCACTCAGCTAGTACTGTATTTTTACTTACAGAGCAAAATTCCAAAGTAATTATGTGTGATCAAAAGAAGTAACTATTAAAACGAGTGGGACTACATTAATATATCAAGGTAGACTGTCTTTGTAGATACTTTAACCTAAATGCTAAAATCCAGTGGAGAGAAAAAGTGCAAGGGAAATAAATGAGTAATTAATTCTTTTTTAAACTTTTATTTGATTATTTTCATTTACAGTTCTGGCACTGACACGTTTTTTTTAAAAAAAATCTTAATTTTATGTAAAGATTGAACTTCAATAAAATAACTTAAAAAACATTTACATATATATCACTAAATCTCCATAAAATATACAATACTTTTGATACAGCAAAGGCTAGGATGATTTCAGGAAATGGTACATAGTCATAATTTTAAAGAGAGAATCCAAGTATCACACGTGGGAATAAATATATTGAAATCTGCCAAGACAAAGGTGAAGTAAAACACTAACATGCACTCAGAAATTAAAATACAGTTTGAAATACATATATTTTAAAAGCATAAAACTTTTCTTTTAATCTAGATGTACATTAAAGCTTCTAAATAGAAATTTGAACATTTATTAAGAATAAAAGATACTATAACATCAAGTCAAATATAGTCCAAAAGCCGCTAGGAAACAGTTTGAATGTGTAGGACATGAATTTTATTTCAGCTAGTTAAACTTGATCTTTTTTAACCCTCAAATGAGAATGAAATGATGCTACATTTATTACATATTAAAACTATGTACTGGTTTTAATTTTAAATAGCTTCCTGATCTTTTTCTCATTTATATTGATAAGACAGAACCAAATACATGAACTTAACTGTCTAAAATAAAATGTGGATATTACTTCTAAATGAAGATATTTGTAGACCAAATGACAACAGCCTGTATTTTATACATGTAAAGATTTATAAGCATTATATTTTTACTTACAAGTAAATTGTAAGGTAAGATACTCTCACATACTTCTCAATAATGACACAAAACACGTCTGTGATGATTATTGGCACAAAACCTTTCTTTAAAGAGACAAGAAAGAGCTGGTAGCAATTAGCTGTTTGGCATTTTTAAATGATTGCTATTTCTAGACAATAGCAGCAGTGTTGCTCACCGAGAAGAACTGAATGTACGGTGATTTATACATCACTGTGATCTCAACCACTTCATCAGATGAGCTTAACATTACTGCCTATGAGGCTAACACTGACAGAAAGTAACCACATACAGGACACTAAGAGCCAGAGAATCATTCCGAGTTGTTTTTTAAATAGGCAGCAGCTACATGAGCTGGAAATTTTGCCCCAACTTAACAAGTTTGCTCTAAAGCATATATTATGAATTTTCTGCTCCTGGGCTGGTTATATCATCTAACTTTTTATTCCTAGTTAATGAAATAGTCTGAATCTGGGAATTGAAAACATTTCAACAACTGAAAAAAGCCATCTGATAGAATATGATATTCCTCAGAAAAAAGTAAATTCTGATTATAACAAAACAATGTTATTCTTCTTAATTGCATTGATAAAATCAAATCACAATAATCCTCCACTTCCTCACTGTATTACAGAATTAATTATATTAGTAATTGTGAGACTTTTCTGTGACATTTTCTAAAATATTCTGTCTTCTCACTTCCAGAATCTATGGACGATTAGAATATATTTCAGTTTTACTTGGCCTTTAAAAGCAAGAATAAGTGGACAAGTTATGTTCTTTCTAATCATCTTTGTTTAACAGATGATGAAATTTCAGTAAAAATTTGGTAAATAACTTACTTTGACATCCCATTTTAGAGTAGATAATTTAAAAATATTTAGACTGTACTAAAATCTAGTTTGATGGTAAATTATGGTAAAGCCTTTAGTATATTCTCACAGCATTTTCTCCACTAACACGGTTGGGGACAAAATTTCAAATGGAAGCATCTTAGATCTTCTACATACATACTCCAGTGTTTGAGATGACTGACTGCAGTGCAACAGAGCTGTGAGGGATGTGTACGTGGAAGAAAAGTACTAACAGTAAACCTTTACACGTCACATTCAGCACTGTGTTCATCATATGCAGGCAAAACAGTATCTCCCTTTAATTCCAGTGATGACCCATCCAGCTAATCCTCAGAAGCATACATTACTTTTTTCACTGTATTTTCCTAAAACAAGATATACTTCCATTGAATTTGCAGCATGTTTAGAGGAAACCTGTAATTTTAATTGATGCTTGATCTGTGTCTGTCACACCGTATACATATTATCTTATAAAATATACATATTTAATAATATCTCAGATGGGATGTTTTCAAGTTGACAGTAGCCAAAGACACAGAACTTAAAAGGTGTATAATATAAAAAAACCTGCAAATTTCAAACTTTAATTTATAATGCACTATAAATGTTTCCTTTTCAAGGAATTATTTTTTAAAAGTTATAAATCTTATACTGTGTCTCTCTTTACTTTAAACATATGGAATATTATTATCATTATATAAATAACAAGTAGTCTTTTAAGAAGGGGCTGCAGGGAAGTGGGGAGGACTGTGGCTAATGGTCCCTGCTATTATGTGCACTTAGGGTTAGAGTTGAAAATACTTCGTGATGTCAGAGAGAACAGGCCATCTTCTGCTGTAGGAAATAGTAAGTTTAACTGCTCCTTTATCAGCCCAGCTGAGTATATAATTAAGGCTATGTATAGAATAAGAGAACTGAGGCATTTATTCCAACAAATCAGAAAAATAAGTTTTTAAAGAGAATACTGCTCTAAATATTTTTTCTCAATCTGATTTTATCACAGAATAGCTCATTTTCATTTTATCTGTTAGACTATTATACATATAAGAAATTTCTTATGGGATAAGAAATATCAATAAAAGTTTTCCATATTAAATCATATTTGCTTTTCTGGGGAAAATCAATATTAATAACCCATCAGAAATCAATTGTCAAAGCACCTAACACGAGGAAAAACTACTTTCCAAAAACACTATGTTTGTTAATATAAAGTGATCAAATGGAGACTCTTTTGGTTGAAAGGTTTTTAGGGCACTGAAGTGGCTGTTTAAGTACCTCTGGTGACTCAGGGAATGAACTTTCTCAGCAAAACTTTTAGCTTGCTGATTGTGATAAGAACAAAGCGTCTGGAGACCGGCAGAAATATTTTGAATTTACTGAGAGCCACCTCTTCATTCCAAACCCATACACCAGTCAATGCATTCCTAACTGGCCACAGATGATTCATTCTTATTTTTATTCAATGCGCAGTGTGAGCAGTGATTTTGTATGTACTATACAGTGCTTAATAGAAGGGCAATAACTAAGTAGTGATGAGTGAACACATAAACCAGAGAAAACCCTTCGAAAAAGATATTGCAGCAATGTCCTTTTTGGTAAGTCAGCATTTCTTACAGATGTGATATATTAGAACCATTTATGTGTTTCCATAGGAAAATATCAATTTTTACATGAAGGAAAACCAAACCAAGCATGACATAAAGAAAAAACACACAGACAAATCTAAGTGTCTTTCATTTTTGATAAACTGTCAGGGAAAATGAGAAAAGATGTGCAAAATAAAATCTTGTTTATGTTCTTCTAATTAAAAAGACATAATTAATAAAACATGACAATTTCTTTAGCTAATAAAAAATTAAAAAATAAGTCCCATGATTTTTAATTAACATCTATAACAGCAGGACTATTTCTGCCACTGAGTTCCTTCATCTCGTTTGTTTCAGAAATAACTGTATGAAGAAAGGGAATGATAATGTACTAGCAGCTATTTATATAACACCAATGAAGGCACGAAAGAGTAGGACTCCAGAGCCATGAACAAAGATGTGGCGAGTTTGGCATGAACAAAAGATGACTCTGAAATACAGTTAAAGACCTGGCACTATTTTGCATTTACAATTGCAGTTCTGAGTGACTAATGGTTTAGGGTTCTATAAAAATCTTTTCTTTCTTTCTTTGACAATAAAATATACTTATCAAAACTTGCTAGCTTATCTGTGCAAATATACTTATCACTGATGCAAAGAAGGTATGAAAATAATCCCTAAAGGACCTGCTTTTTTTAATGTTCAATAGATCCCGTGCAGAGTCCGTCTCTGAAGAACTTTCGGTATCTGAAGTGGAGAGAGAACCAAAATATGGAACCCAGAGGAGATAAGGACAGCTGTGCCCTTACAGATATATTTTGGAATTCTTCAATGAAAGTTTAAATGGAATTTACTTCTATCAGTTGACCACAATGAGTTATTAGTCATTTAGAAAAATTAGGGTGAAAAGGCCTTGTTTTGACATAAAACACCCTTGGACCAACTCACAGAATCCTTTATAAATGTAGATTATTTTGGCTAGATTAGCAATGATGATCTTGCCACTAATTATATACGTTCGTAGAAAAAAGGGTCCCACTGACGCCAGTGGGTATAGTATTCATTTCAGACTTTCTCAGGAAGGAATTACACACATTTGCTTCAGAATTTTCAGATTAAAATTGATTTTTTTAAACACTTCTGTTTGTGAAAAAAATATCAGGGCTGCATTTCTTGTCACATATTCTAGGACATGAAAGTCATTCAGAATGAGACTGGGAACGACCATTTTAGGAGGAGGGCAGTGAGGTTACCAAGTGCTGCCTTTCCCTACATTTGTTTAGGTTACTAAACTATTCCACATCAGAAGCATCATTGTCTGACAGATGATAGTTACTTCCCTTCACTCGAATGTATTCAATATATCTTCCTTCATCTGAATCAGAAGTACCACATGTACATAGCCTGTTGTCAAAGAGTGATTCAATTTCCTCTAACTTTTTCCCTTTGGTCTCAGGAAGACAGCCGTAGATGAAGAGAAGTCCCACAGCTGCAAATCCAGCATAGAGGAAGAAGGCTCCTGCAATGACAGACAGCATGCTTTCGTTGGAAAAATACCTGACTTTTTTCCCCTACTCAATCATGCAATAATCACAGTATGAAACAGGACCAAAATCTACGTGGCTCGTTTACCTGAATGTTCCAACCCTGTGAATATAATGCAAATAAATCACTGAATGTCAAACTCAAGAGGAATAACAGACCAGACTCAGATGTAAGTTCTGCTTTTAAGTTTTTCCTGACTAGAGGAACTTACTCCTTCCCACACTTTCATAGCACTGTGCTAAGAAGTATTATGTCTTAATAACTAGAAAGTATTATCATTATGTGCATGCCAGTATCTGTCTTGTCTCCTAAGGTGAGGAAAAAATTATCGAGATTTCCAGAATCAAGTACAATGGTGACATTACAGAGTTAATGCCCCAGTAGAACAATGGCAACACCATTCTTCTAGTTTCTCAGGCCTGAAGAATAGGAGTCAACCATAACCTTTTCTCTTACCTCACACCTAACATCCAGTCTGTCGGGAGACCCTGTTGAATGTCAGCCGAAAGTGACCGTATTCCACCGCAGTTGCAATACCTGTGGTTTAAAACCCAGCCTCCCCCTCATCTATGCTATTGCAGTAGTTTCCTAAATGACCTTCCTCTTAGGTCCCTCTATTCCATTTTTTCTTTAATAACTCTTATCAACTAACGTATGATAAATTTTATTGTTTGCTGTCACTTGAATGTAAGGTCTGTGAGGTCAAAAATTCTGTTTTGCTCTAAGAATATGTATGTTAGTGAAGCACAGCCACAGATATAAATACTGTCCAGTTGTGTTTTCTGAGTATTTAGACAGCTAGGTGAGATGAATAAGGTACATGAATGTGTGGCTTGGCTCCTCTACATTATTTCCAAGACGGCTCTTTTTCTCTGTAATCCAGTTCACTACTAACACATTCATAATGGGACCTTAACTTGTATGTCTTGCTTCTGGGCAGCTCTGAACCACTGGTGGTACACGCACGACTGTCCCACTGGGTAGTACAAGCTGCCCGTGACAGTCGTGCATGTGCCCCTGGTGGTTCCAGCCAACAGTACAGTATGAGGACTCATAATTCTACCTTGGTGCTGGAGAACAACGAACTATATGAAGGAGCTCCTGCTTGCTTTGAGGCCTTCACTTTAGATCAGTGGTGGCGAACCTATGGCATTCATCATAGTGGGCTTGTTTGTACCACTGCAAGCTCTAGACGATTTGCCATCAGTAGGCTAGGTCATCCTGTGTACAAGGTGGAAGAACGCAGATAAAAGGCTAACATGACAGATGGCTGGAGAAAAGATGGCAGATGAGGATGGGAAGATTGGGAGTTATGTCTTGGCACTATTCTGGACAGACATTTAACTGCCGTTCTCTCCTTAAATTTCTTTATGGAGTGAAAAATGATGGATTCTCAGCTCGTGTTTAAGTGCTGGCAGTTTATGATCCTATGAAACCAGGAGCAGGATTGGGGTTGGTTTAGCAATACTTGACAGTATACTTGCTCTTCTGTTTCAGCAGGAGTCATCTTGAGAGCGGAGCCTACGGTAGGTTTGTCTTTGGTTTCCCAGTGAGTATCACAAGTGTCTCATGCATTGCAGTCTACAGCCTAGGTGTCCAACCTTTTAGCTTGCCTGAGCCACAGTGCCAAAAGAAGACGTGTCTGGGCTACATACAAATTAGGAAAATTTGGCTGGGCACAGTGGCACATATCTAATCCCAGCACCCTGGGAGGCTGAACATGGAGTACTGCAAGTTTAAGTCCCGCCTGGGCAACTGTGACCCTGTCTGAAAATTTTTTTAAAAATTTTTTAAAGGGCTGGGGAAGTACGACACACCCCTGAATTACATCCCCAGTACCAAAAAGAAAAAAAGAAAAAGAAAACTTTCATGTCTACTTAACACAGGCAACATACATAGCAAGGCTGCAACCACTGCTTTTCCTGGCTAAGTTGCAGAAGCACACATCGTGCCCGATGCATGTGGGTTTCTGTATGGCAGGCGCAGAGAGTGGGGTTGGCACTGCCCTCTGCCCTGCCTGCTGAGCACTCCAGTGACGCTTGTTCAATCAGTGCTGGAGCTCCCCATTCCTGGCTATCCAGGGTGCATCAGGTGAGCTAGACACACCTGGTCTAGAGACTGGGAAGGCGTTTATGAGCTGCCAGGGGCTAAAGTGGACACTGTAAAGACACATTTTCAAGTCAAGCCTTAAGCTGCTTAAGTGTGCATATCAAAATAAATCAGTAAAATTTCTCAGTTTCGCTGATGAAATGAAGCAGCACAGTAAGGGACAGATAAGGACTACTGAGAAATGTGCCTCGGGGGCTCTGAAGCAACCTACAGATGAAAATGTTGCTGAATAGGCTATTCCAAAAACCACAGTTGGAACAGGTAAATTATGAGAGATTATAACAAACATGCGGGGGTTAACTAAATCAATTTGGTAGTTGAAATAGAGCCATCAACTCTTTAAGGAGCTGGATTTGTATAGCTCAAACTCTCTACTTAATGATATCAAATTTTCTTACAAATATATGTCATTTTATTTTGGTACATAGTGAAGTGTTCAAGTATAGGCCGTAAAAAATACGTCAGAAAATAACATGAGGTCATCTGGATCCACAGCACAGGGAGAGAAAACAGCTCCACGGCTCTGTGGCGAATGTGGCCCCGGAAGTCAGAGGCATCGTGATACATGAGTGTGGAATGCCCACATTTGTCTTGAACTTCATTTCCTGACCTATATGATGGCGAAATAAACTCCTGCTGTGTTAAACTCTAAGGAATAGATAGAATTATGTTGCATGCCCCTTAGAGTTTTGGCTATCAACTGCTCAGAAATGTGATAATCAGTATCATTTAATGCTACCAAATGAGTAGGGAAAGAGAGTTGCTATTAAAAGGAGAAGAGGATTAGTGTATTTGTTAATCAGGAATATTTTCATGAAAAGCTAGCTCTTCTGAATGTGGTGATTCTGACAGGAGATGGGGAGGGGTACAAAAAGGAAGGCCTGTGCGTTGAAGGCAGATCGTCAAAAATCTGGACATAGAAACAGAAATGGAATTCTTGGGGAAGAACAGTAAAGGGCTAATCATGATGACACAGAAAAGAGTACAGATGGTGAGACATTTTAGACTAAACCAGAAGGCTAAACCACAGAAATCCATAAAAACGCAAACCCACTTTGGATTTATAAAATACATTCTTTCTTTACCATCATCTTTCATAATTTTGGAACAGGCATAATTGGAACTAACAAAATCTGTTAGTGAAAAGCTGCTGGACTAGGAATTTTAAAGATGACACAGATTCTTCAGATTCCAAACCCAAATAACCCCAAGGAAGTTCTAATGAAATACAAGCCTCTTAATGATTCTGAGGGCTCTAAAGCAGGTGAAGCCCACACTGCCTGCTAAGTGTGGGTTCGCTGGTGAGATCTGAGGTGTAGCCACAGAGGAGTGTGGGCGGCCTGCTGTGTCACGGCCACATCGAAGATGTAGCTCGCTCACTCGCTCAGTCCTTCTCAGAATGAAAATGAAAAACATCTGTAACAAACAGTGCTATTCCTCAGGGTTACTCTGCAGGAAATGAATCTCATTAGAGCCCTATATTAAATTCCAGATTAAAACACATATTTAATTGAATTATACAAATTGAGGAATCAGAGACCACACATGATTGAATTTCAGGGTCTTAACTCAGGACCTCTGACACGATGCCTCCCGTGGCCCTTTTTAGCCATATGTGCTGCATGTGAAATGGTTATTAGTGATCTTTTAAAGAAAATGTTTAGCAATAAACATTGCTGAACAATGTATAAAGCAGTTCTGTAGGATTTAGGAAGAATCAGAAAAAGGAGGAAACAAAGCCATGGGTATTTCCAGAGAACACCATCAGGATGTATACTTGTTAGGTCAGGAATATACACACATAGCTTACATAAATCAGTAACTTGCAGATTAAAGTATTACACACATGAAGGAAAACCTTGGCTGCACCAGAATATTTTTCCACTCTTAGAGAACAGCGGACTGATGGCTGGGGGTGCTGACATGAGAAGCTCACTGTGAAGGAAAATGCTTCTAACTGGCTACATTTTTTGAAATTGTGTGCTTATGCCCCATTTTCATGTCACTCCACTGCCTTATTTTACCTGGCAGAACAGAGTCAAGACAGCCTTGCTATCCAAAGGATTACACTGTAGACTTATGTGGACTAGGAGTTTCTATAAAAAAAACCCGACATCGTCTCCCAATCATAAATTATAGCATATCTAAAAATATAATGGGAAAAATAAGATCTTACCATAGTATGTAAGATATTCTGCTGTGTGTAAAAATGTCAGTGAAACCAAAACATTGAAAATCCAGTTTATTCCAGATGAACATGCATTTCCTGTACTTCTTGCCCAGAGGGGATATATTTCAGAATTCACAGTCCAAGGCATTGGTCCCATCCCTAGGGGATGGATCAAAAACTTCAGTAATATAGCACATAAGAAATTTGAAAGACAGTAGCCTATCTCTTCTAAAAGAGAAATAATTTGATGATAATAAAAACAGCAAAGCCTCTGCTTACCAGGTGCAAAGAAAACAAGATATAAAATAAGGCCTAGAAGTGCAGTCCAGGAGTATGGAGTAGGGCAGAAATTGTAAGCCCAGAACACTTCCTCTGTTTTGAATTTGGTTTCATTTTCACACCTGAAAAATAATGCAATATAAGTATTAGTGTTTTAGGATATAGTTGCAGAAATTCATGTGATCATATTGGATGCATTTGGAAATCCCTTAGTATCTTCAGAGTCCAAAATATATTAGATGTGCAGGCTAAATATAATTCAACAGCAACACACAATAACACTTTTTTACCCATCACGTATCAGTTATTTCTGATTATTCTTTGGAGGCTGCACTTAACCCTTCAAGCACTGCTAATCAAGGTGTTGTGGTAGAAATACCAGTGTAAGAGCAATCAGGCCGAGATCCGAATTCCAAAGCCAGAGCTTTTGCAGCTGTAAAAGGGGATGATACCTTACAGCCTATGTGAAGGATAAGAAGCGTCACCCGTGAAGGGGTGAAAGGGTAGACGAGGGAAGACAACAGTTGAGCAACAATCTGACGCCAAATATCCATCTCTCCTTCGTGTTATGTCTTGTTTTTCCAGTCCCTCCTGATGACCTAGGCTACTTGTTCTGTAGAGAAGCAAAGTGTCCTTAGTTTAGATTAATTCTCAAGTCAAACCTAATTCTTTTCACATGATCCGTCCCTAAAGATGCTATCCTGCCTCAAAAACATCTTTATCCCTTATTATCAATTTAGAATATCTTTGCCTTGTGAGACAGACTTTTGTTAAAACATTTATGGACTTGTCATTAACAACCCACTTGTCTTTTTTCCACCCTCCTATCATGTGCCATATTCACTTATTTTTACTTTGGGCTCATGTAATAAATTGGCCTTATAGTTCCCAGTTTACTTTCAAAGTATAGCAAGGGCCCATTATATTGGATTTGGAACTAATATTTTATTTCAAGACAAAATTTGGGCATTCCTTTTCTGACCATAGCCATTTTATTTCATTTCTGATAATTTACACTATTCCCAAATCATAGGTTCTAGAATCTGTTAGTACTCATTTATCTCATTACCCGATTCAGATTATGCTAAAATTGCCTCCACTGAACTCTAGAACTCATGCTTGTCTGCCACTCTTGTCATTTTAGTTGTCAGCCCTGTATATAAGTACTGTTTACTTCCTCAACGACCACTTTTATTGTAAGCTGTCCAAAATTAGGAAACAGTGCTATGAGCTCCATTAAAAGTTCATGTTACTTCATCTTACCGGGGTCCTCAATGATGCTTACCTTTATTGTCTTCTCTACTGAATTGTCTACTTATTTCAGAGTAGGTGGTCAATAAATTTTTGTCAACTTTTGCCTGAATTAAAGTACTTCTTACCATCTTTTAGCCCTGAGATCTTTCCATCTGCTTTCTAAGTACATGTCCTTGGTTATTTTTTTTTTTTAAAAGAATTGAGGATCTGCAATTGGATTATCAATTTTTCTGTACTCAATCTTCACATTCCTATCAATTTTTGGAGGAAAAAAAAAAAGGACACAAGCTCTTCTCCATCCAGTGGAACACTGCTCACCCTGCCCAAGGGCTGCCCTTCCTATGAAAGCATCGCACTTCCCTTCCTCTGTCGTCCTATTCCATCACAGTCCCTCTCTCCCCAGCCTCCTCTTTAACTTAGCTGCCTCTTCTGTATCCACCACACGATCTCACCATTCTCTCATAGTAGCACCGGCTCTCCGCAAGCACACAAGCTCTAGATCCTCACTGCCCACTTTTTCTTCATAACCTGGTTCTCCCAATGCCCTCCATGTTGGCTGACGTGGCTGTTTGCCTGAATGTGCTCAACCGAAAGTCATCTCTGATCTGGTACTCTGCAATGGTTGATATTTCTGGCAACCCTTCTTTCCTTTTCTTTCTACTTTGCTTTTGTATGCCTCTCCATTTTATCTGTATGACCTCCATATTTTCATTGCTTTTTATTTTTACTTTTCACTATGTAGTTAAGACTGACCTGGAACTCACTATGTAGACCAGGCTGGTCTCAAACTCGGTGATCCTCCTGCCTCAGCCTCCCGAGTGTTGGGATTACAGGTGTGCACCACCACTCCACTCCCGGCTCTTCATTGCTTTTTAAAACATACCTGTCACCTCAGCATCTAAAAATATGTGTCTTCTAAGATCCTATTTATTCCTATACCCTCTCTCATAATAATCCATCTCATTTTAAGATTTTATAATCTCCTAAGAATGCCTTTTGGTAGTCACCTTAACCTTATCCTTATGTTCCACCGATGTGCTGAATATCCACATCCAGATATCTTGCTATGGCCTCAAACACAGTTAAAATAAAATGCCTTGTTTGTTTGTTTGTTTTCTTCCTAAGTGGCAAGGTGGAGCTGCTCTGAGTTCAAATCATAACTCCACCACTTACTGGTTGTGCTAAGTAACTTAAAATGTAAATATACTGAGCATGTTTTACATATCAGCCATCTCAGAAAACAGCTCTGCAAGGTGACAACCACATGCTTATGGGGTCTCATCCCTTACCCCAACAGTCTATGAAACAGGGCCTGCTTTCCATATTTATTACGTGTTTAGGACTTTGGAGGGTACAAGCATGGTCCTGTTTGCTGATGATGTGTGCAGTAGGGAAAAAGACTGTATCACAGGCATTTAGAAAATTCAGCATTCCCTATGCAAGAGCAGAATGCCTGCCAGACACTGTGCATACAGGAGGTTACTGCCTCACTCCTGCCACTTGTGGCAGTCCTCCTTTAATGAAGATTACTATCCCCACATTGAAAGGGCTTAAGTCCTCAGCATCATCTTGGGTTTTTTTTTTCATCTTCTCTGTTTTTATATATCTGAGATGCTCTCTACTTTAATCTGAGGTAAGCAGTTGCTGAAACTGTACTTTGACCCTAACTTCTGAAGCTTTAAACTGGGTGGACACCCAGTGGGAAGCGAGGATGCAGGTCACTCGAGTACTTCTCTAAGCTATGTCCTCTCTGTGAATAGAGGATTTCCGGGCACCTATCTCAGAGAGATCTTCTGAGGCTTACGTGAGATAATAAATACAAACAATTTCACACAGCATGGACCAGAAATCATAATTATTATGTAACTTCATTCTGGGCTAGGGACACAGCTCAGTGGTGCAGCACTTGCCCAGCACACAGGAGGTGATGGGTTAGATCCCAGTGCTGAAAACAAAGAAACAAATACACCAGCTGTAATTTCTTACACTAATCCCACTCTAGTCCATACCCTATCTGTCTCTCCAGCGGGCACCTTCTCCACAGCAGGCTCTGGAGTAGCTCCCACAATGCCTGTTTCCTAACATTCACGGCTAAAAGTGCTCCTTTCCAACAGACTAAGGCTGAGGTAACAGGGTACACTCTAAGTGCGTAAGGTTACAGTGCTGATCAGCTCAATGGCCTTCTTTCCTTGCTGGCTATGGGAGAAGTCACCTGTACTGGAAGGCCCAGGAAGGAGCCGAGGCCTGCAGGAGACTGCATTTTTCTCCAGGAAACAACAAGTCATCAAATTTGACTAACAAAAGTGAATCAATCCCAACCTGTGGAGCCTTGGATGAAACTGGAGCTCTGGCCTACACTCTTCAGAGTATTTGGCACCCTGCTAACTGTCCCTGGACTCCTGGTCTGTAGAAACCGAGACATATAATGTATGTTGTGATAGAAAAAAAAAATACAGTCTGTTATCTTTAATGCTTGTAGCATTTCTTTTCAAGTTGCTCTGGCCACCTCTGTTCATAACCTTCATTCCCCTCATCCCAGCTGTCTTCAAAATAAGGCCTGCCTGCTCTTGCATTTGTATATTCAGGCCTACTCTCCAGCTGACCCAAACTGCGTATTTTCGGTGCATGTCTTCCAGACCTAGTGTCTACTCATGCCATTTGCTAAAATGGAGATGCTTATTTCTGATGGCCACCCCTCGAAATCTCTCAAATCCCGATACTCCTTTTCACTTGCCTGAAATCTTCCCCTCTCCTCTGTAGTCTTCTCAAACAGTTATCATGCAGTGCTCAGTACTTTCCCATGTGAGTAAGATTCTTCCTCCTACTGAATAAGACCCCGCTCCAGGCACTGCACAATGGCACAAGGGCTGAGCTCACAAGGTCTCAAGTCAGATACAGGTTTGTATCAGCTGGTAAGCTGGTACTTACCAACTGTCAGTCTCAACTTTCTCACCACCCACTGTTAGAGAAATTAAATAAGCTGGCAGCTGTTTGGCACAAAGAAAGCAACAGATGTGTCTGCCATAAGGACACTTTTAAATTAAAAAAAAACAACAGTCCATCATAGTATATGTAGGGGTAAATGGTCATTGAATGATAAAGTATTTGCATTTCTTTGTGAGGAAAAAACAGCTTTAGAAATCTCCCAATACAATTCCACAATTAATAATTCCTCACCTTAATTTCTTACCAATAAAATACTTGTTATTATAATCTGAAAATAAGAAAAAAGAGGAAAAATGGCAGTCACATGAGTTGCCTAGAGGAGAAATGTTTAAAAAAACCAAGTAAATAAATCCAATGAAAAACTTACTTAGTATTTTCATTTCTATCACAGTTCCTTAAAGTCTTGCTGTGATAATGGTAAACAGCATATTTTAAGGTGAACGGTGTGTGCTTGCCCACGTAATTTTCTCCATCTGGCTTTCATGTTTCTGTGCAGAAAAAGGCTAACTCCCTGTCATCCCTGTGCCAACTCCAGGAGAGCACTGCGGGCACGGACTTGCCAGAGCCACACATTCAGCAACGTGTAGATGGCTAACGACTAAATGTGACATCAGTCTTGACCTTTAAAATCTAAACACTTGAAGTCCCAACGAAAAGTCGAGATGTACATGCCAAACGTTAATGCAAAATACTCTCATGCTTTTCAGGCTTTGTGGCTGCTGAGAGATGAACGTAACGCTCCTGGGAAGGAACTAAAACACCTACTTTGGTGTGTGGGTTGGGATTGGAAAGTCTTGCTCTCTGATATGGCTCCTTTTTAACACATCCCAGAGCAGGACCAGAAAGTGGCAATAATGATGGGAAGCTATGAACAGGGCACTGCAGTGGACAAGGAGTGGAAGCCTGTCAGGAGGAGACATGG